GTCATTTTACAAACTGATGGCTGCCTATAAAGCTCAGCATTGAGAGACATAGTTCCAGTTCAAGGTGCAGACTTCTGTTTTACCAGTAAATATGAAACACCACTGGCAGTACAGAGGGAAGAGCAATAAGGTGTGCTAAAAAACTGGCACCATGGCAAAACAGCTCACTACTATTCAACAGAAAATGACTTAAGGAAGACAGAAATTAGTGTTTACATAAGGTTAAATAAGGGACTTAAATATTTTTTACCAAACATTTGCTCTAGGCCAAAATTGAAAAGAAGTATCATCTTATTTGGGCCCTTTTTCTTCTTTTGGTCACACCCGACTTGGCTTTGCTTTCCTCCATTTCCCTTTAAGCCTGCTGTCCCTTCTTTCAGAACACACGCTGATATTTTAGTTACAGAAAGACAGTGCTGCTGAGGCCTGGGTGGCAGTTTTTCCTCTTTTTCTCCTAGCTTGCGTCTCTTCTCCCACTCATTGGACACTATAATCAAACACAGCCTAACACACAGACATTAATCAATTGGCTATGACTTCACAGACTCCCTTCCTTTCTCAGCTGAAACTCTGAAGATACAATAATCTCAGTATGATCTCCAGCTACTGTATTTCACTGTCCTTCAGGCTTTGCCCCTGTGAAATGGGGATAATGACACCTCACACAGATTTTGGAGAGATTATGTAAAATAACATGATGAAGTATTTAGAGTAGAGCCTGGGATACAGTTAAGTACTAGGTAAGTAGTTAGTACAACATAACCTAGTCATGTCTTGTTACTCACACAACAAACCGTTGTGAGCTGAGAATGAAGGGCCACAAACAGACCTGCTGGAAACTGAGGCTTTCATCTGGTCCATGCAAAGGGCACAGAAGCACCCCATGGAGCCTGATACATTCCCAACTTTTACAAATCCTTTGTGCTTAAGAGTGAAATGCATGCGCCATCTGCTGGGCATTGTACTGAAATGAGGTTTGGAGGCCTGGAGGCTACCCAGCCAACTGTAGCCTGAGCAGAGAAATGTGGGTAGAGTATGTACCTGTGATCCCCAGGAACAAAGAGCTCTGTGTCAGGTTCAGGGTGCCTATGTCGACCTTCCCCAAGGCAAGGGTCAGATTACCAGGATTACAAACAGAGAAAGGGAAATGCAGAGCCTTGCCTAAAGAGCAGCCCCTTTATGTTCTTAACTCCTGGCAAATACCAGGATGAAAGATCCATGCAAAAGGCTCAGCCAGATAACACCGCCTGTCCCCAAGACAACAGCCCCCACAGGCTGCAGAGCTGTCTGCTAAACTTTCCTCTGACTTTGGGGCTCACCTGGTAGGGGCACTAGGTTTCTTTACAAACAGAGATGGCATGCTTATTTTGTGATGGACACTGTAGTAGGTGCTTTCAGTTTAATACTACAACTTTATAAAGTCTTATTAACCTCAGTGAATTGGCGAGGCTCAGACACCTAAGAAAACTTGTCCAAGGCCACCTCGTTGTGAAAAAATACATTAGTTTGCTAGGGCTGCCATAATAAGGTACATCACTCGTCTCAAACAGCTGAGTTTCATTTTCTTCTGTTCCAGAGGCTAGCATCAAAACGAAGCTGCTTGCAGCTGACCATCTTCTCACTGCCTTCGCCTGTGGCATTTTCTCTGTGTGCATACAACCCTCTGTGTGTCTACATTCCTTCATTTAAGGACACTGCTCAGTTTGGATTAGGGCTCACACTAACAGTATCATTTTAACTTAATCACTTTCTTTTGGTGGCGGTGGGGTTGAACCCAGCACCTAATGCATGCTAGGCAAAGTACCACTGAGTTCCACTCCCAGCCCATGCATTCATTACCTCTTTATATCACCTTCTCCCTCAGTGTAGTTCCATTTGGGGTGGTGGAGTTAGGACTTTCGGTAGAGGGCATATAGTTCAGCCTGCAACAAGAACCTCATCAGGCTTCAATTTCAGGCCTTCTGATTTCAGTCCATGCCCTCTTCTAGAAGCTGCTCTGACCTCAGGTTTAGGCAAAACTCATTTTTGTTTGATTTCAGTTGGAATGTTATGAATTTGGATTTCAGTGTTCTGTCAATCTGGAGAACCAGCACAGAGATTTAGCAGCTATGTTTCTGTGGCTCCTTTCTGAGGTGACCAGCCAAGAGGAGTAAGATATCAGATCCAAAGTCCACTTACAAGTTGGGGAGTTAATTCACTAAGAAAAATCACCTCCACATTTGTAGGAAAACATACTTTGTCATCTGCTCCTTGGTTCAAGCTGATAACCAGGGCCCAGGATGAGGCAGGTGGCTTGCCAGCAAGGCCAGCTTCGGCGTGTCTGTACAAAGGAAGGACTTGGACTTGCTCCATAGTTCAGAGGAAATGATAACTATGTGGTGCTCTTGCAGTTGGGAGCAAATTCTGGCCCAGAGCTGCACTTCCCCTGCGTCTTCTGTGCAGGCCCAGGAATGCATGACCACATGCATGACATTCTTATGACCAGAAGCAGCGAAAATTTTATGGTACCTTTCCAGGCTCAGGAACATCTGGTTGCTACCTGCTGGCCAGATTCTGGCATACCGGCATATCTTGGCTTTAGGTATGGGCCACCACCATTATCTTAAACAGAGAGCCTAGGGTTCATGGGCAACCAGTTCCAACAGTTTAACAGTATGAAAATTACGGTGACATGTGGGTTAACACTTGTTAACTAGATTCAGGTATTAATAAGCCAATTATAGGCTTATGGAGCAGGAAGGAACAGGTACCAAAACAGGGGTGTAACCACATCAGTTTTGCAAACTGGAAAAGCTAGTGGCCCAGGTTAATGACTCTTTCTAGTTATGTGGTCTGGGTCCCTAAGCATCCCATATATTGTTGTTTTTAAGTGTTTCCTATTACTACAGCTTTCTGAATCTGTCGTGTGTGTGTGTGTGTGTGTGTGTGTGTGTGTGTGTGTATGTGTGTGTGTATCTATCTATCTATCTATCTATCTATCTATCTATCTGTCTATCTGTACTGGGGATTCACCCAGGGTCTTTGTACTGATCTACACCCCCTAGTCTTTTTATTTTCAGTCAGTGCAGGGTCTTGCTAAATCACTAAGTTGCCTAGGTTCAAGTGAACCTTCTGTCTCAGTCTCCAAGAGTGCAGAGATTACAGACATGTACCACTACACATGCACTGCACAGATATTTCACTTTTTCAAGTAATTTCAGAAATACTCATGTTAGTTTTTCCTGCAAGGTTGAATTCTACAAGGGGGAGAGGACATCACTCATTTTGTAATGAGTGATTACACCTATCTCCTTGTAGGCACTCCGCTTGGTATATGAATAATGTCAGAGGTGTTTGCTCACCTGTTTCTCTTAATTCTTTTTTTGTAAGAGAGAATCTTTTGTGTCTATGACTTGTAAGTAACACTTTGGCCATTCTTTTAGATTATGGTACAGCATACAGTATAATTACTATTGTTATTCTCTAATCATTTTGTTATGAAATTTTGCTCTATTTCTTTTTTTTTTTAATTTTTTTTTAATTTTATTTATTTATTTATTAGAGAGAGAGAGAGAGAAGAGAGAGAGAGAGAGAGAGAGAGAGAGAGAGAGAGAGAGAGAGAGAGACCAGCTCAGCCCACCAGGGGGCGGGCTGGCTGGCATGTGGTGCTGGGGGATTGAACCGCGGTCCCTGATGCTTTTGCTAAGCTTGTTCTAAGTAGGTGCTTTAGACCACTGAGCCATCTCTCCAGCCCTATCTATTTCTTCATAGAAGAAAGTTTAATATTTTATCAAAATCTATATGTAATACATTAAAATAAAACAAATTAATTATAAAATAATGTTAATCTACAAATTTACCAAAGGCATGAGGAAAAATGGTGTGAATGCACAATCATGTATTATAAATAAAAGTTTTTAATTCTGAATCCTTCAAAGAGATATCATGCTGGTAATTGCAATTCTGTTTTCCAAGTTGAGTACAACTAACTTAGTCAAGACTTAACAGATCCCCACAGAAAGAGGCTTCTTCTGGGTCTGCCTGTGATTGATATAAGTGGGTACTCTCACCAAGAAAAAAAAACTGCAAATGCCTCTTTGCTATTGAAACTCATGATTAGATAAATTATTGTTATCTGAACTCCTGCTATCTGGAATTCAGAACCAGAACATTAGGACCATATATTTTGGATGAGCTTTGCATTATCTAAACTCTGCTCACCATTTGGAACTGAGGAACCAAATTGATCTTGTAAATACCTTTTGTTACCCAAACATATTAGCTTTTCAGGTTGGATTCCAAGGGACACCCTGTTGTCCAAAGGTATTTGTAACATTTTCTTTACACATATGCACATGTATGTGAATGTATATAGACACATCTGTAAATATACACATATCTACATTCATATACATATACATTTATCTATATATGTTTATATACATATACATACATAGCTTTTCTCGACAACATCTATTATTCATCAGTATTCAAGAAAAAGAACATCATCTCATGCGAATATCTGCTCTGCAGTGTTCACTGCTCTAATTATGCAGTCAGGCTTAACTCTGCCCTGAGGAAGATTCTAAAGCTATAGCATGGCATTTTAGGACTCATGCTCACCATGGAAGCAAGAAGAAGAAATTCCTGACAGGCTAACTCTGAATTCCTGTCACCTAGCACAGTGCTCTACATTTAATGCTTCTTCAATGAGTGAGCACTCAGGCCAGCTATGCGGCGGGGCAAACCAGGGTGGATCTGTGTGTCACAGGAGAACAGTTCAGGTGCTGAACTTAGTATGAACATTCAGAGAACATGTGCAGATCATACATACATTTAAAGAAAGTGTTAAAGGTTCCTTTGAACACAATTAATGCAATCACCTTCAAATATACAGCTTCTTCATAACATCTCTATTGTTTTTTAAAAATCCCTCAACTATAAGTTTTACTGTATTTAGAAGAGACTCAAGATAGATGTTTTCCTAAGACCTTATTTGTGGGGTAGAAGCAAACTGTTACCTGTGAACCAGAGTGTTTTTGAGGCCACCAACCAGGCCTCTGGCGATGGTCTTCACTCGGGGAGTGAGAATGGCCTGGGAGACGTGGAAGGAGCCCTGCGGGGCTCGCTCGCTCAGCGTGGTCTCCAGGAAGAGGATTAGTTTGCGCACACTCGTGGTGTTTGCCCAGGGTGCAGGAATTTTCTTTCCAGGCCACAGGAAGGAATAATGCTTGTACAAGGGATAGTGGTAGAAAATAAGAACCTGAAATGTTCAGAAGAGCAAAACAACAATTTGTGAATAAGTTAAATGTCAACCCCTTGATCTTATACTGATTTCTGAGACCAAACAAATATATCTGAAACATAGCTTTTTTTTGTACGTAGTACAGGGTCTACAGGGTCTCACTATGTAGATCGTACTCATAGTGATCCTCCTGTTTACAGTCTCCCAAGCAGTGGGATTACAGGCATGCGCCACCCCCTAGTCTCAGCGTGCTCCGGGGATGGGGCTGGCACAGCAGGCCTGGGGATCAAACCCCTGGCCCCTGCGTCTGCCTAAGCAGGTGCTTTAATCCACTGAGCTATTTGGCTGGCCCCATAAATATTTTTATATATGTTAAAAATCAAGAAGCATATAGCATTTGCTATATGGCTGATGCAAAGATTTTTTTGTCGTGAACGACTATGGTAAAAATCACAGGCCATGGTAAAAATCACAACTTCTAGGAATTGTGTTTTAAGTCAATGCATACAATACAATGTACATGACAAAGGAAACCAATGACACAGAAATATATATTTCAAAATATCAAATAAATTTGTGATATATGCATGTGCTTTGTGATAAATATATTAAATAAAATTACTCTGTTGTGATTCCAGTGAGTTCCATAAATTTGAGTTAGCAACAGCATAAAGGATTTCCTAAAATACCTGCAGTAAGAGACATGTGATCTGTTCACGTCTGTGGGGATACGCAGCAGGTAGGGCCACCATGGGTGTGGGCGGCTGCCTGCACTCACTACTGATTAGTATATGAATTTTGAGTTAAAGACTTGCAAAAATGAATCTGTAATTTTTTACCATCCAAATTTAGTCTTGTTAAATTCTTCCCATACAGACTGGGGAGATGGCTCAGTAGAATAAGCACTTGCCTGGCAGGCTTTGGACCTCACTCTACAACTTTTTGGATGAGCTAGCTTACAGAGTCTAGAAATTGTTTCCTATGCTACGATGTTGACATGGAGCATTTAGAAAAATGCACTCAACTAATTTGTGAGTAAACAGCTTTTCTACTGTATATGTGAGCTGACTCTAATGAAACTGTTCTTCCCAGGAGAGGGAGGGAGTGTGCTGCTAGGTCAGGGAAGACTTCATTGAAACAAAGTCTCCAGTGGGACTGCTCAGGATGATGGTAATTTTGAAAATAATTAGAGAGCCACATCCACAGTATTAATTAGTATCTCGGAGGCAGCTGTGGGACAGGGAATTGCTATTCTGATTGTCCCAATTCAGAGCTCTGCTGGGTAGGTTTCTAGAAGCCATTTGTTTTTTCTTTAGAGGACCCCATGAGCTCTGCCTAGGGAATGTCTGTGTGAGAAACAGGCCTGGAAATGGTCCTCAGCCTGCTGACCCAGACCACAATCCTCCAGCCTCCCCTGAACCCAGCTCTGTTGCTTGTGTGTGGAAAGGCACTGGATGAGCCACTCCTGAAGGCCCAGAGTCATCAAGAGCCAGGCTAGCCTCATCACAGGGGTAACAGCTATGACTATTTTCACTGGTTCTTAGTGCTGACTGACTGCTAATGATGTCTGTGGTAAATACATGTGTTAATGAGGTTAATCACAGGCTCATTTTAAGCAGATTGCCTGGGTTAGCCCGGGAGGATTCCCTCCCTACTCCCCTGTGGCACAACTGGTTAGTTTAAAGGGCTAGGGACAGGGAGTTGAGCTGCCTTGGACAACTGGCGAGGCAAGAGGCTGTGCAGCCCTGTGATAGGCCTTGCCACGTGGCATTCTGTGACAGGTTTGGTACAAGTGTCCTGTGACTCTGGTCCCTGGTCCCAGAAGGATGATGCATTCCTTTACTTTGCCTTGGAGAAGGTGGAAATAGTAAAAGTTATACAGAAAGGGTTGACTTTCCTCAAAGGTTATGGGAAATTTCTGCTTGTAGCAGGAAGCTAGCTAGCCCAGGAAGCAAACTCCCCTTCCTCAAGAATCCGGGTGCCTAGACTCTGGCCTGGAGCATGTTTCATGTCTGTATCCCCACCTCACTCATTTAGCCTTTTCCCCCTGAAATACTCTCCCTTCCAGCTCAGCAGTTCATGTTCAGTTTTTCTCCTGAGACTCAGACAAAAATCTCATTTCCTTTAAGAACCATTCCTTAATTGAACTTCTCTTATTCTGATCATTCCTTTACTGAGGGACTCTGGAAGGAAAATTTATGCTATACTCTACTTTTCAACTAATTTACTGCAAAACCTTTTTCTTCACAGTATACAGAACATTTAAGACAGTCTTATCTTGCAAGTGTGTATCAACTGTTTTGTATTTCACTAGGGTTATGTATTTCTGCCTTATCTTTATAATCCTAAATACTTCCAGGATATAGATTAAATCTTCCAATTCACTGTACTGTCAAAACCCACTTTTTATATGGTATATGGATTATATTTGTGAGCTGTGTTTTAACTGAATGCTTAGTAAATGAAACTGGAATGGTAGTGCACTTCTCAATATTGAATTGCAGTAATAAAATGTGTAGGGGGCTACATTAAGGCAGCTCATTACATAATGAATATTTAAAATCTGGTCACCCATGTGGCACCATTCCAGCAGGGGAGAGGTGACTGGGAACTCTCTTTGAGATTTTCATATTTTAAGAAGAAATATAAAATAGAAAACAAGAGGCAGGATAGAGGACCTTAGGATTCACAATGGTGATGCTCTCCACTTCTCTGATGCATTATCAGTCTCCTTCATAACTTTAGGAGCACCTGTGATTGGATGACACACTTAACGTGGCCCACACTTAAAACTACGGTCATCATCCCACTGCTAGAAATTCACTGTACATACTATTGATTATTCCTGAAGGTACTTCTTATTCCTGTAGATTTTAATCATCTTAGCAGGCAATATAGCAGTCATTAGAATACTGTGTACAGAATTATTAAGTTTTGTATGAACTGAAATTTAATCTGATACGAATTATATTCAAAATCCACACCCTTCCTCCCACTATTAACATTCGGAGGACAATGGGCCTTACTTTAATTAATTTGATACGGGGTCTCACTGCACAGCTTGGAATCATAGTGATTCTCCTATCTCAGTCTCCCCAGTGCTGGGATTACAGGTGTGCGCCACCATGCTTGGTTTCAGTGGCCAGTGTGGTGAGTCCAGAGTTCTGGAGCCAGCATGACATGTGGACTAGGGATCAAACCCGGGTCCTTGTGCTTGTCAAGCAGGCACTTAGACTGTCAAGCTATCTCCTGAGCCCAACAATGGGATTGATTAATAAGGACCATGTATTTGTGTTAGTGTTACATATGACTGCAACCGGCAATGTCATCCAACTATGTCAGCAGCCTGCAGAGAGAAGCAGTTGTGAGAATCTGGGGCAGATTAGGCAATATGTCAGTGAATCCTGGCCTCTCCCTCACAGACACTGCTTCCTCAGAAAGATGCTTAATATCCCTATTCCTCAGTTTCCTTGTGTTTAAACTGGGGTAATAACAAAGGATCTAGCTTATGCTGTTGAGAGGATACAAAGGGTTAATCCATGCACCTAGCCACTGTAATGGCTTAATAGTTGAGTTGTTATTGTTGTTATTACCATTCCATGACTTAAGACAGAAAATCAGCCAGAAACATTTTTCCAAGTTACACTCATAAGGGCCAGATATAAACTTAGTTTTGTGGGGAGAGATGTAATAAACATTTGTCAAAGTATCATTTACAAATCTTTTAGTGAGGAAAAATTGCTTAGCTATATTTTAAAAAATATTAAAATTAAATCACCAAGACTCCATGGAGTCAAAGATAGATAGCACTTGTACCAGTCTGTGCAAAGCAACCTGGCATTTCCAGTTTCTCGGACCTGACCTGGGAGATGTTCTTGAACCTTGCTGTCTTTCTCCCTGGAATCTATCCACGAGGCGTCCCTGTGGCCAGATCTTCTGGTAGACTCCTCACATGACCATTTGCCACTCTGTCTCATTAGTTTGCTACCCCGGACACTCGCACAGCACAGGAATCATCCAGATCCCATTAAAGCCTTAGTCATGCACAGCCTCAGAATTCTGACCTGGCCACCTCGTCTCTGACCTCTTCCTGCCTTGGCCTGCTCACTAGTCTCACTGCCTTTGTTTTTCCTTAAAACTTTCAGGGACCTCCCTACCTTAGGACCTCTGGCTGGCTGTTTCCTATGCCCACCAATACCTATCTGATTTATTCCTATGAATGCCATCTTTTCAATGAGGACAGCCATACTCAGTTGTGTAAAACCACAATCAACTGTGCCATGCAGAGCCTACTTGCTCTCCTTGTGCCACACTAGACTTCACCTATAGCTCTCACCATTATACATATATGGTATTTATCATCGTTATTCTATGGTCTCTCTCCCTTCATTTGAATGAAAGTTCCTTTAGGACAAGGATCTTTTGTCTACTTTATTTACTCATTTACTGTAGATCCTTAGAATGGTGCTTGGTCCATATTTGATGTTCAGTAAATATTTACACATAGTATTTAACTTATTTTGAACTAAAAGATCATTTAGGATGTTTTGCTTAATGAAAGTGGCAAAGTGTCCAGGGTCACAAACTAATGAGACAGAGTGGCAAATGGTCATGTGAGGAGTCTATCAGAAGGTCCAGCCCACAGGGACGCCCCTTGGATAGATTCCATTTGCTTAATGAAACTATTGAGCAAGGGAGCAACTCTGAATGAGAAGCACTTGCTGGTTTTTGCTTGTTTTCTTAAGGGAGTCTAATGTGGAGGCTGCTCTGTCCTGAAGCTCCTCCTTTTTCCACTGCCCGTTGGGGTCACATTCATTTTCCAGGCTCTCCCTCATGAGCTTAGGCTTGGAGGCTCCTCTCCACTTAGACAGCCTGGGAAATGTTCCCGGACTCTCTTCCATGGGTTCTCCTTTCCTTAAGTCTTCTCTTGCTATGACCAAAATTTTATGAAGAAGACCTTCTAAAATGTGAATACTCCTGTGATGAAGGATTTCATATGCTTCTGTCAGCTGATGCCTTTACTTATCACTCACTACCTCCACAAGAATTAGCTGGGGGGACCTAGGTAGGGGGTGATAATGCCCCTCATGGGAGATAGAACGGTAATAACCAACTGAGCCATTTCCCAATTTTGCCTCAGGCTGGTTCTGGCTATTCTCAGTCAATTCAGTTGTTAGACTGCATAGCAAAAGGAGTTAGGTCCTGCTTTTGTAAGCTCATCTCTGCTTCTTTCCTACCTGGTACTTCTTCTCCCACATGGACTGCAGAGTCAGACTTTCCACACTGCAGGCTGGGCACAGCTTGCTTCCAAATGCCTCCTGGATCCGGAGAACCAGGCATTTGTGGTGGGCTTCATCCATGGCGTAGAAGTGGTTGAAATCCAGGAAGATGATCTCTTGGGGGTGCTGTGTAAGGAATGAATCTATTTCCATCAGCCCATCCCAGACTTTGATCCCAAAAAGCCCATGGATGAAGTAAATCTCCTGGTCAGCGTCCCCTGGCTTAGAAGACACACGCAAGTCAAAGTAGCGGATTCCAGCTTCCAGCTGCTCTCGAAAGGTCAGGTTCTGAGTCACAGACCATTTCTTCATGAGCTTCTTCACCAAGGAGATCCTGGCCAGGCGTTTGATAGCTGGGGTCTGGTCGGGCCCCACGGGGGACTTTTCATCTACCCAGTAGCTGAATGAATCATGGGAGCCTGTACAAAGCAATAAAGGGGGGTGGTAATGAAACTGAAGCTGAGAAAACTAAGCCAAGTGATGGAAAACAACAATTAAGAATCAAATCTATAAAAGCATTGTAAATGAATACTTGCAAAAATTTCAAGCCTACTGGGAATGAAATAAACACAAATAAAAGTAATATGGTCTTATTAGCAGCTTGTTAAGCCCAGGGTAATGCTACAAATCTCATATATTGCCAAGAATAAAGTAAATTAATACATACCCTTTTGGAAAGCTATTTAGAAGTATGCTTAGAAAAAGGTGCTTTAAAATATTCATACCATTTGATTTAGTAATTTCATTTCATGAAAGTTATTCTGAGGAAATAAAAAACATTTGGGGAAAAACAAAACTGGTTGCTAAGGCATATCCATAACACAGACTAACTGCAGGTTACTTAAGTGCCCCTCAAAGAATGCTTAATGTGGTATGTATTCTAGTATTCTTTTGTCATGCTGGCTTTGAAACAAAGGGTATGAAAATACTGCATCTATCTTACTGATTCTGGGACAGGCATTTTAATTCTAGGAAAGAAGAATTAAAGAATTTGACTGCTTTATTTAGCTTTTCTCTATCTTTGGTGGGGGGTGGGCAGCGACCTCTGCAGATGCTAAGGACCCCCCCGCTTCTCCTCTCTTTAGCAGAAAGTGCATTCTCCCCCCACCTCAGTAAACCTCAGTTTCTGCTAGTGGCTCAGGTAACCTGTAGTTTACTTCAGTTCCTGTTATAGTTCCTGTTACTTCTGTTCTTTAGAAATGGTTGGTCACTATGATGCGGAGTTGGCCACTGTGATGCATACTGTAAAAACCAATCAATAATCACCTACTACTCTATGTTTTTCTTGCAGACCACATAAAAACATCCCTGAGCTTTCAAGGCCGGACATGTTTTAGAGGTCAGTGCCCAATGACATGCATAAATCTGCCTCCAAATCCTGGGTGATGTTTCTTGGTGCTTCTGTTCGCTGTTGCATCATCTCTTTCCTCTCCTCCAACTCATTCTCTCCTCTACTTTGAGACAGGTTCTTGCTAACTTGCCCAATCTAGGGTCAAATGTGAGAGTCTCCTAATTAGCTAGGACTATAGGTACATATCACTGTGAATTTCAAATTTTAGATTTTTAAAGTATAAAAAGTTTTGAATGTGTAGGAATGCTTTTTGACAGATCAGATAAACATTTAGATGAACTTAAAAGAGGTTGTTGATATCTTTCTATTATTATTATTATTTTTTATTTTTGGTATCGAGAATTGAACTCAGGACCTTGAGCTTGCCAGGTAGGTGATTAAGCCACTGAGCTATCTCCTCAGCCCTATCTTACTATTTTTGAACTAATACTTTGATGGGCTGAAACTGTTATTAAATGGTCCAAATGCATGTTTCACTCACCTGCTTTAAACAGCAAGAGGCTAGACACTGAGATTGTCTTGTTATACAGTAGGAATGATTATAGTAGGCACAATGCCAACCATAGTGAGCTAATATTTTAAAAGTAAATATTTTAGATGAAAATTATCTTTAATCACTATCATGCACCATTATATTTTTTTCTCTGACTCATGCTATAGGCTAATTCAGTCAGTGCTGTGGCATGTACAATCTAAGAGAACTTCTTGTTCTGACACTACTACCGTTGCCCTCAGGTCTCTACATTAAAATTCTTGTGTTTCTTTTACATTGTCACCAATAATTCATTTTACTAATTTTAGAGTAGATAACTCATATGTAATATACATAGGTAAATCTCTATACTTTTATATTATGTCCATTCTCTTGAAAATCATAGCTCTGCCTTTACTACTTTAGATAGTCAGTATCTGAGATGTCAGATATAAAATAGCCTCTACTAATTGACCATTTCAGATGTAAAGTGAAAAAAAGAAAAACAACTGATAAATGAGGTTTTAATTTTATGTGCATCTGGCACAAGAAAGAGATTCAGTAAGTATGAAAAAACCCCACATTTATTAATTCTTAGGAAAATTGAATTTTCCAAGTGAGATAATTACCAGCATATTTCAGGTAAAAAAAAAATCCTGCCATTGCTAACAGAAATGTGGAGCAACTCCCCCTGGATCTTCCCCGTTGGTTATTGCTGTCAATGGTACCCAATGGATATTTGCCTAACGCTTCGCTGCCTTTAGATGCTCAGAAACAAAATTTTTTATCTCCTCATTGACAGATTTATTAGGAGCAGTGTATGTGGGGATGGTGAGCAGCCAGTTCTCTCTTCTTTTAAAACTATATTAACAGCCCAGCTGTTCAAGATGCAGTATGAGGCACATATTGGACTTAATTCTTCTGGGCCTCAGGGAATAGCCATTATTCAGGCATGGAAGAGACAAATCCCCTCTGGGGCTTGCTTGTTGGTGCTGAGCCCAGTTCCAACTCGAGGGAGATGTGCTAACAGTCTTCAACCCTCTGCTCCTGTCTAAGGACTGCAGAAATGTGATAGCAACAGGGCTCCAGGGGCTATTTCTTGAATGCACAGCACACACATGGTACCAGCCGGCCCCACAGAAGAGGGAGAACCTGTACATTCCCATAGACACGCAGTCCTTCTTTACTTTCCGCTCCTCAGGACTGTCCTATCCTTTCTAACATCCTGAGATCCTTACACATGTTGTGTTTCCTGCACAGGACAAAACAATGGAACAATGCTCGTGTGTATGTTTTATTCTCCTTGTCCTACCTAGATCCACAGTGATCAAAAGTATCACTCAGCAGCCACTAATGAGTAAATTTTCTACTTCATTTTTCTAGAAAGTTTCTGCCTCACATAGAGTGAAATAATGTAGTATGATGTACTTCAGTATATTTAACTATTTTTAAAAAATAGGCTAAGGGGGCCAGGGAGATAGCTCAGCTGTCTAAGCACTTGCCCGGCAGGTGCAGGGACTGGGGTTTGATTCCTAGTACCATATATCATGCTGGCTCCACTCCAAGGCCACCTAGCTGGCCACTGAAGCTGGGTGTGGTGGCGGTGCATACCTGTAATCCCAGGGCTGGGGAGGCTAAAAACAGCAGGATCACTGAGTTCTTCCTCCCTGCCCATGTAAACTATTTTAGTTGTTAAAATTTTCCCCTTTACTCTCGGTATGAAAATTGAATCCATGCATTCCAGCAAAGAGAAAAAAACATAGTGTTCATTGAACCTTGCCACAGGTGCCACAGTCCCTCCCTACTGTGTCAGACCTTCTCTGGAGGAAGAGCTGGAAACCTTCTTACATGCTTCTATTGAGAACCTAGGCTGTCACCCACTATCATTATACAAAATTTTCTTTTCCTAAAGACCTCTGACTTCTGGGCCTGGCCTTCTCTGGTTGGTCTTCTAGTACTTTCAAATCTTCAATTAATAATCTATTAGATTGCCTTTCTCATACCTACATGCATACTTTCTTCACCATTCCTTTCATTCTAAGAATGTGCTCTTTTGAATAACTGAATAACAGCTTGTTAGTGGAAAAAAAGAGATATGGAAGGCCTTGCTTTGTTTTTCATGCCTTCTATGAGGTGATTAGATGAGGTTGTTTAAGATTAATTGGGTCCTTTGAGATGTATGCTGTATTAGAATATACGCAGTCTCTGGGGCAGAAAAATCACAAGACAAGTGAGACTGAAATAGGAAAAGGTTAGCGTATTTGTTCAGTGTTACAGTTATTTCTTCTTTGATACCACCAGGATATAAAATAATCTAAGGGGTCAGGAATGTACTATGTGTTGGCTTTGTGAGTTCCAGAGACAAGACATATGCTCCTTATCTAGAACACAAATTGCTGCCAGACTCTTTCTGAGGTTCCTTAGGGGATTGGACATCTCAAGAGAGCACATCACAGCCTTTAGTTAAAGCACTTTCATTAAAGCAAATTGGAATCATAGCCATTTTCTGAATGCAATTAAAAAGAACTTAAAGTAAGTGAACTTCTTCGAAATCTGGTTTCTAAAGAAAACAAAAATAATTCAAACCACACAAATGAAAAGATGCATTTCATTACAGCACGATAATGTCAGCCTACATGCTGACCATACTCATAGAAACATTTCATCACACCTCTGGGTGTCAGGGAGAGGAGTGATGGCGACAACCCCACATTCAGAAACTCCTGGCCTCAGATGTTTAAGAACCCTCGCTCTCCAATTCCTTCAGGCATCATCCTGCCTATGGTGAGCCCTCTGACCTTGGTCTCCAGCCCCTCCCAGGTGGCTCACTGAGCCCCTCCCTGGCCAGGTTTCTTCACCCCAGCTCTCCTACAATCTGTTCCTCTAGGCAAACATCACAGAAATTGTTTTTTCCCCTAGCGTGGAGGTGGTCTTATTTACGTCCAAATATATATGTATACGTCAGTAGATATACAGTACAAAAACAGATATACAGAAAATACAGAGTATTAAAATTTCACAGTGGGGATGTTATCAGGGGAGAATTGTCTAGAAGGCCACCTTGGGAGGTGATTATGAGCAAGGCTGAGGGACACTGCTCTCTCCTGAGCCCCTGGGCTTGCTGGGCTGCCCTCTTACCCTGTCACTTGTTTCTTGAATGGCATGTCTGTGATCCCTCCGGGGACTGCTTTCCGCTGGTGTCCACATGTAAGGGGACACCATGTACTGGAAAGCTCTGTTCCCATCTGCTGTCCCAGAGCATGAGTAAGTTGGGAACCATTCTCTTCCAGTTGTTTTTTAAGTATTTCTACTCTCATCTCAAGGACCAACAGGTCATTTCAGGAAGCAGAAATTTACAAATGATGAGTCCTGAGACTAATTTAATGAACTACTATAGCTCTAAATAAGTCATGTGGAGAATTACCACAGGGTTTCAAGTTCTTGGGTCTGCTGCCAGGTTACCTGGGTTCACAATCATGGCTCTACTGCTTAGCCATTAAGGCACCGAAGTGCCATGCCCCAGCTGCCTCCCTTACACTACAGTGGTAACACTGGACCAACCTCTCTGGTATGCTGTGAACACTGGTTAAGTCATT